GCAATTGTTTATTTACTATAAATCTGTTGATTATTTTATGATTAATTGCAATGCAAAATGAATTATGATACTATTGAATAATAGGCTTTTTATAGGACCTATTCATATTTTCGATTTGATCGTCAATATGTGCGGATCCTAAATCGATTCTCCTTCAAGAAATAATAAAATTATATTAAAATGTTTAATTTAAATCATTCGGAAGAAAATAAAAGTAAAACAATGGATAATTTTTGAATCAGTTTATGAGAAAACTTTTATTTTCATTCATCTGAATTTGTATTTTATTGTGTAAAGAAGCGATCTAGCGTACTTGGAATCCATGGTACATGGTCATTTTCAAGAGTTCAAAAAACTCAGTACATTTTTGAACCACAGGATTACACATTTTTATTCCTTTTCCAATTGAAATATATCTAAATGACTGGACAGAACAATTGAAAATATTTCAAACATACTTTAAATCGTTTTTTCCTTCTTCTTTTCATGGAATTTTAGAACATTAACGTATCTCTAGTTATACAATGCTGTATCATATAATTTAATATTCTTGTAGACATTTCAACGTAAAGAGTTAACTTTTTGATGTTTTGAAATTTTCAACATAATTATACTAAATAATATTGATTAATAAACTAATAATAAGCATAATTATAATTTTGATTTTCCAAATTCTTATAATTAAAAGTATTAAGCTTAATTAATATTTGCAAAGTTGTTTGAAACAAATATTTAAAATTGTTCAAAAATTAATTCAATAAAATTCTAGTTTAGTAATTATCTTTAAAGAAATAAAAAAAAATTCTATAAGCAAGAAAAGTAAGTATATAATTATTCAAATTTAGGAAAAATTCTTATCACTATTTATGCATGATATAAGCTTATAAATTTTAAAATTAAATATTTAAAATTAGTAATGTGACAAGAATTTCGTTTAGATTAAAGAAATTTAATAAGAAAACGATAAGAGAGTCGTATTTTCTGTGTAGAATTCATATCATTCCTATTTTTGCAGTATCCTTACAAATAGAGCTGCATTTTTATCAAAATTATGTAAATTTCTAATTATAACGTAACTCATTACATAATATTTTTATATTGTTACCCGTGTAACAGCTTATAAAGTATTGGAAGCTTTAATATGGTAAGAATGCATCGTTTTATCTTTGTATGTAACAAAAATCAAACAATGCATTCCTATCTTATTAAATCTAAAACTCGTTTAGATACTGTTACTCACGTAACAATATAGAAACTTTATGTAATAAGCTTCTATACAACTTGAAACTTCCGTAGCTTTGATAAAATTGCAGTTCTTTATCTTTGTTAATGGATGTTACAAATATAAATACGATTAGAATGCTACTTTTTTTGCAATTAACAAAGATAGAGTTGAATTTTTATCAAATTTACGCAATTATTAAGTTATGATATAACATTATTATATTGTTATGTGTATAATAACATCTGAAAACATATTAGCAGCTTCAACACTATAAAGAATGCATTGTTTCATTTTGTTACATCCAACGAAACAATGCATTTCTATTATGCTATATTAAATCTGTCAAAAGCTTTAGATGTCGTTACGTATGTCATAACATGTTTATATTATTACTTAAATTAAATTATAACAACTCGCATAACAAAATCTATTACTCATATAACTAAATTATAAAATGAAAGAATTTTATAATTACTAGAATACTTATAGAATCACCGACGGAAGAGGTTGCGAATCAAATGTAATCCAATTCGAAAGTATATGAACAGATTGCTATAAAACTCCACCCAAGATGGAAAACTAAACGGTCAACGGCTCTACGACCGGATTTTCTACAAAATTCCACTTTCCTTCCATTATTAATCAAGTAATCAATGCAGGAAGATGATGGAATAATTTTTCAAACAAATCGACGTAACCAGAAAACTTCAAAATACAAAAAAGTATATATTTAAATGTCATTATCGGATATCTTATGCGAGCAGATCTGAATTACTTGATTCTAAAATAAGTACTAAAAAGATATTTTCGCATATTCAATACATTAATTATATCGTTGATTGTTTCGCATCATTACTTTCTTTTTAAAAAAACACAGTTAACTTACTTTTATGTACTGGAATAGCATCAAAAAACTGCGTTATTCCATTTTCTATATCAACTTCCACGGTGTCTTTTTTAAAATGTAACTTTATCAAGGTAAATGTAAGCAAGCTATTATCTTTATAACATAAAATAGCGCAGAAATCTATACTTTTCCAACTCTTATAATGTCTATTAATAAACAGAATTAATTTAATTGATTAATCTATAAAACGATGATAAATTTAGATAAAGAGCATTTCAAATAAGTTAGTCAGAACTCATCAATTAAAAAAGGCATTTTTTTAGAATTAAAGTAATTAAAGTGTTAATTCCGTAAAACCCTTTGAAATTAGAGTATTGTTCAGGCAATTTAAAATTATATTTAAATTTGAAAGAAATGACTTTAATTTGATAGAGGGATTTTAAAACTTCCGCATTAAAGTAATATGTTCAGGAAATACTAGCAAGAAACTGTGTCAAAGAATGACAGATGGTTACGTAATCAGCAGGGAGATGAATCGTGTGACAATGTACTTCCACACAAGAGTATTTCTCGAAATAAGCGTCAATTCTCAGCATGAACATTTCCAGTTACACGAAGAAAATTTAGTTTTCTATATTATAAATGAATTCATTAAATACTGTATAAAAATTGGGTTTAGATTATTCATAAATGAATATCTTACTTTTTTATTATTTTAATACTTAGAATAAGAAATTGTTTCTTAATTCTTAATCTCAATTTTTGTATGTTTCTAAAGAAATAAAATATTTTACATATTTTAAAGCTTTAGGAACTCAAATTTTGACAGTTTTAAAAGGTCATTTTTTCTAATATTTTGTAGCTTTACAGCTGTAAAATATAGAAACTTTTGTAAGAAACACTCAGAAATTACGATGAGGGGGATAAAACAATTTCTAGCGATTCTAGAAAAAACAAGTTTAATATCGTATTTTATAGAATTCGTGTTTTTAGAATCTATAAAAATTGTCTTTATTTAATAATTTCTAAGTATATAATTCCTAATCATGTATTTTTTAATTTATTACTTTAAAAGCTCTAAAATATAGAAATTCTGTTAGAAAAGTTTTGAGTTTATTAGAAAATTTTTGCTCTAAACTCAAAATAGATTGATAAAAACATATTTTCTAAAAGTCCTAAAACCACAAATGTTACAAAATATACAATTTGTGTTTTTAGAACCACTAAAATTTGTCTTTTTTTATCGCAATTTCTAAATGTTTCCAATAAAATTTTTATACTTTAGAGGTTTTAAAGCTGTAAATTATTATAAAATACATGTTATAAATTCAGAATTTTTGTATAAAAAAGCATCTTATACAGATTCTAAAAACAGAAATTGTATATTTTCTAAAATTTATGGTTATAGAATAGCCAAAAATTTCCTTTTCTTTATCAAACTTCTGAATATTTTTAATAAAAGTTTTAATATTTTTACAGTTGTAAAAGCTGAAAAATATTAAAAAAATCGAATAAATATTTTTAAATAATAAGAACTTATTTTTAAATGTTGAAAGAAGTCATTAATTAGAAACGTCTCATTTTTTAAAATTCAATTAATTAACTTTTTAAAGAATTAATTTAAAAATACAAATAATTATAAACTTAAATTGTATTTTATTTATTTTTTACAATAAAAATAAATTTTTATAAATTACTAAAATGGTATTGAATCATCAATTCCATTTCTAAAAATAATCGCCAAATTCATCCTCCTACGCTCTTTCTACAATGTTTGTTTTTAATATCTCAAAATGCCTATTATTTAAAAAGATTAAATATATGAAAAACTGTATTAAAAATGTATAAATTTAATAATTAATATATTGAGTTAATTGGAAGGTAAATAAATAAATATAAAATACTATTATAAAATATTAAATCAAATTTTTAATTTAAATGAAAAATTTGGATTTTAAAAAAATTTAATTAAATTCTTAAAGTAAAATACTGTATATCGAATAATAAATTATAATTAATTATTTCCTAAATATATTTTACTTTAATTATTATCTGTTTAATGATAATTGCCTTTTAAACATTCCATTTCATTAATCTTAGCATAATGTTTTTTTCTATTTCCTTTTAAAAAATATATAATTATAAAAAATAAATTGTCTAATGAAAAATAGAATGTAACATCATTTAAAATTTTTATTTTTTAAAATGATTAACATTATCATAAAAAATATCTCTTGTTTCAATGTAAAAAACAACAACATAAATTTCAAATTTATTCTTTACTTTAAAATATTTATTATATCCCATTTTATATAAAACTATAATGGCTTAATGTTATAAAAATTTAAATTTTAAAGGAAAATAATTGTGTAGGCCTAATTATTTTGGAAAATTTTAAATAAAAATACAGTAATTTCAATTCTGATATATTGTTAAAGAAATTAGAAATATTTTATTATAAATTTTACTTTAAAAATCTTTTAGAAGACTTTTTATGTATCTTGAAAATCCTATATCATCATCGTAATCATCATATTTTATCATTTTACAGCCATGACAAGATGCTTTTCTTCCGTTTTTTCCTATCCATGATTACTCTCCTCCATCACAGTATATGGAGAAAACATATTTAGCCTATATATGAAAGAGAAAATTATTTTATATTCAAAAGTAAGAAACATAAAGAAAGATAAGTAATTAATATCTAAAAATATCGATTTAACAGTCAACGAATTAAATGATTTCATATCATACTTTCTGCAATACATAGCTACAAACAAGTGATATTTGCAACAAGCCACCTGCTACACCTGACCTGACGTATCGATTCCTACCTTTCTCTGCTGACTTAATCTAACTGTAGTGTACAGAATACACGAAATCCAAGAGTCTCCTTCTTTATCGTGCTTCTCTCCACATGCAATTGTGCTTTACCAACAACCTCTTGCAGTCAATGTACTCGTAAGAGTACATACTTTCGCTCGTTCAACAGGTAAAATTTATGTATATATCTATCATTATTTCTTAAAATTAAATTGCTATCTATTTTCTCACTTCATTACATTATAATTTATACTCAAAACAATGTAAAAGTAGGATTAATTAGTGAAGTATACTGTTACATAAATTTAATTAGGCAAAGAAAACATACCTTTTCGTTTTCGAATTAAATAAAAAATAGAAGAAATCTTATATATTCTGATAGATATTGCTTCAATACATCAAAATTGCCAACACAATAACAACTTAAAAGTTGGATATTTTTGTTGAATATGTTTGAAAAACGATCAAAAGCATACATATAATGTCAAGAAAACCTGCACAAAATATATATTAAAGTAAATAAATATATATAGATATACAAAAAGAAAAAAAAGAAAACGAAACAAAATATATAAAATGATGGAATGGAATCATGAAATATGGATGTTTGAGTTGATGATGTGTTTTGTCTCTGACAAAGCATTCGGAAGAACTCGACATTAAAAACCATCTGCAATATTGTTACAAATATGTATTATTTATGAGTTCGTAACAAACATATAACCTCATAATTTTCATAAAATATATTCTGAATATGTTTTTTACATATGTTAAATGAATGTTTGAACAATATTTATCTTTTAAAGATATATATACATGAGATATCTTCCTATGCATTTTTATACACTTCTTATGATAGATTGTTTGATGTGTAAATATTACAATTTGTTTGTGGATGCCACATATATATATATATATGCATATATATTTGAAAGAAAATTTTGAAATACGAGATTTTTACATGTTTTTTTCTTTTTAATAGAAATATTATCACAGATCGAAATTCGATAAAATATGAATATAATAAAGAAAATATTTTATCATCTTTGCAAAATTTCGAATAAAATCATGTTTCTACTATCTAAAAAAATATTTCAAACATATATTTTTTTTTAAAATAATGCAATCTCATTTTCTTTAGATTTAATATTTTTATAATATTCAAGAAATCTTTTTAAAATTTAGAAACTTATTTAAAAGTATACTGTGTACACATTATTATGCACATTATCTTATGTACTGTACCGTACAGAACATTATATTATATGTATTATTATGTCATGTACATTATATTTAAGTACATTTATTACACAATTCACTTTAAAACTTTAGAACAGATTGAACTTCCATATATAAAATTTTATTATTTTAATATAATTTATTATCCAAACATAAATTTAAACCTAATTTCATGTCAGAAATGCAACTAACGTAATAATTTCTTATCCATTAGTTTGGTGAAGTGTTGAAGATAGAATTTCATTAAAATTTAATTATAGAAACCGCAAACAATTAAACAATGGTCCACAAGAGAATAAATTGAGAAAATTTCTTTAAGAAAAATTTTTCGTGACATTTTCTAATTAAATTTTATGTAAAATTAATAAAAATGAATTTTTTAATATTAAATTTTAAAATATATATGTATATAAAGTACAGTTTAATGTAATAAAACTTTAATTTAATAAAAATTAATATAAGATTTAAAAAAAGAATTAAATTGGTAGTTTAAAAAATATGTTTACAACATTTAAAATTAATTATAATAATTGTTTTTAAGAAATAATTGCTATTTAACAAACGTTGTAATTTATCCTTTTTTTATTGTCTCAATATTACTAATTACATGGACGAATAGTATTGATTAATATTAATTACTTGATTATTCAACATTTACTTTGTACTTTCTAACATAAAAGAGAAAGTTAATATTACATAATTATGCAAATTACAGACGTTATCCCTTCAACTAACCATTTTTTCCTTTCTCTTTCTTCTTCCTTCTACTCCATCTTCCTCCTTTCATAATCATCTAGTAATTGCATTTTAAAAAATGTGAAAAAACCCACTTTACATTCATAAAATTTTATTAATTTCTTTTTCTAGAAAAAAACACATAAAAATATTATAATAAAAATAATTTGATTTGCATACATTTTTTAAAGAGTTTTTTTAAAGTGTGTTTTGATAGAATTTATCAAGTTAAAAAATGGTTAATTGGATTATTAATCATTGTATCAAAATTAAAAGGAATTTTGATTAGTAAATTTATTTAAATAGTTATAGGCTAATAAACATTTTAAAGTGTATTATTAAAGATTTAGAAATATAAATATTATAATAGGCAACATGTTTTCACAATTTTGTTGAACATGTTTTCCTTTTCCCAATACTTTTCTTCTACTAACAATAAATGGTTTGTTTGAATCGACCCAGAGTTTTTTTTTAGATAGAAAAAATAGTGGAAGAAGAT